CTTTATATATATATATATATATAACCCTAAAGTTTTGTAAGTAATTTAATTTAACATAAGTTTGAGTCATGTCAATGCTGTATGTCGGTGGTTAAGAAGCCAGTTGTTACTAAAAACAATTATGAAAAAGTTATTAAGAGTGCTGTCACTGCATCTCAGCTGAAAGTTTAAGGTACAATAATTGCCATAAAACACATGTACAGTCATGGATCTAAACGAAAACTGTTTTTTGTTTCTTTGTTTCTTTGTTTTGTTTTGTTTTTTTCGCTAATTATCTCGCTGAAATACTTTCCACACTAATACAACTTTTATAGTCGCAATTGATTCTGGAATGTTAAACTCCGTGTCTACCCCATTCACACAAAAACCTACTAGTACTACCATGTATACCTACATGGCTAGCTCTGTGGGCGGGCAAGATGAACCAAATCCTATACACTGTGATTGGATACCCGAGTGCGCAATAAGATGGTGATATCTTGCACCGCTCGGGATTACCCGCTGTGTCCCGCAAGAAAATCGTGTTCTTGTTCCATATGATTGGCCATATAATTGGCCTCATTCTTCCTTTTTGTTTTGCATTTTTGTGGACCTCGACTCTGTCTCGGTCCATAAACATGCAAAAAAGAACGACCAATATCCAGCCATCTTGAATTCACGCTTGATACCAATAAATCGTCTACATATTTGTGACACTTTAAGTTACTTTTCCAATTGTAAGAACCTACCTTTTTCACAGTAGTTTCCAGTAAACCCCAACAGGCAGTTACAGGAGTAATTGTTGATACCACCTACACACGATCCACCATTGCCACATGTGTGATTAACACAGTCGTCGATGTCTAATAAACATAGTAATCCATAAAGAATATTGTAAGCCGAGAAAAAGCAACGGATTTATGTGGAGGTTTAGAAAAAAAGGTGTTTTCCCCTTGTATTTTGCAATAGGTCATGCTTCGTCATTAGTGTAATACCTTCCGTAAGCGACCACCCAAAATGTCAAGCCTAGGTGGTCGTCTAGGGAGGTGGTCGCTTACGAGAGTTAAGACCATATTAGGTCAAAATTTTCCTAATTAGCTTATGGTAACTGCAGAGACTTATCCCGTGTTTGAAACGTTTTATTCATGGTTACAAGGAGTTCCAAATAGAGTAATTTGAATTGGAAACTTCTGGTACTTTGGAAAACTGGCCGCTGAGGAGAGGTGGTCGCTTACGAGAGGTGGTCGCAACCGGCGGTTCGACTGTAATTTCTTTCTTTCTTCCTTTTTTTTAAAGCGTCTCAAAACCAGTTGAACATGTGTTATAAGTAGTGTTAAGGTTAAACGTCAAATGCTGATTGATGCGCAAGATAGTGAACTTGTAAAGCAAGGCGGTGTGGAGTCTTTGTTGCTAATCCCGTTATTACATCTGTAAATCATAATTATATATATTTATTATATGGCTTTGGCTTGTGGCCGATATAACGCGCGCTCTGATTGGTTAATTGCCACTGAATTGTA